GTTTTCAGCTTTTGCGCCAGGCCCTTGCCCGACTGAGGCCTTCACCCTATTGCCCCACTACTTCCCACCTCTTCCCCTCTCCAGGTCAACAAGGTACTTTGCACCAGTTGTAGGCGATATGGTTTGCTCATCAATGCTCCTGACCTCGTTGGCTGTGTCCTCGCTTTTCTGGCTAGTGAGGCAAAATGACGAGGTAAGAGGGCGCGCCCTGATTTACCGGTGCCGATTCTGTGTGTGTGTTTGTTTGTTCTTCACTTGCTTCGTTTGTCTTCCGTGTGCTATCTGTTTCTGGTGTGATGTTGTGGTATTTGTTTGTGTGCTTATTTGCTGCTTTGTTCATAATGTAAATAGTTACGTAGCTGTTTCCGTGTTTTCATTTTGCTATTTTGCTCGGCTCGATCGCTGGCTGGCTAATTTTCGGCGTTGCGTGCCTGCTGTGTGTTTTTCTTTGTTTCTGTTTGCTTGCTTGTCTTAGCTACTTTTTTGATTGCTTTGCTATGCGTGGTTGCTTGTGTTCTGCGCCGTTTCTCCTTGGACGACGACCCATTTACAAAGCAAGGCTCACAAGCAGGGCACACGTGTGCATATGTGTGATTTGTGCTTGTTTTTGTAGGGGGGTGTGAGCTCTTCAGGCTTCAGCAGTCTTGCAACTTGAAGGCTGGCTGAGATTCCACCATGCTGCATGCCACACGCCTCGACATTCCCTGTTATTTTTGGTGGTGGGGGTCTTTGCCGGCACACGGGGGCAAAAAATAGACCGAGCAGGGGATCACTCCAGGACAGTTGGTTAGATGTTTTCGGTGCAGCGCCCTACGGTCCGAAAAGGCATTCCGTTGTTCAGCGGCGCCCCTCGCCCCCATCAGATGTGCTCACACTTGTTCTAAAGGGGACATGTGCAATGGCCAACCAGTAGGCACGGCCTATTTATGGCATTGATGTCCCGGATCCTCAAGGGCTATAGCCCGTTTGCAGTGGCATGTTCTCCCCTTAGTGTCCAGCTTCTTTCTGGTAACGTGAAGATAGGGGAGTGACTTGTTTTATCGTTTTAGGAAACAAGTCCGCAAAACCGGGCTTCGGTGTTCCTTTCGGTTTCATTTGTTCAAGCCACTCAAAAAACACGGCAACTCCGAAAACAAAACACGTAAAACATCCCAACTGGGTTTCTTTTGTTCAAGCCACTCCCAACAAGCGGCGTGAAAAAAAAAACTTTAGCTTCCGGGCCACCCAGCTTCCGAGCGCCACAAAACGGGGGGAAGCGCCAGGTCTCTGCTCTCGCAATGGGAGCTGCCCAGCACCTTGGCCTTACTTCCCGAATCCCCCCCTCCCCTGACCCCGAGAAAAAAAAGCAAAAAACGATGGCCTAGGTTTCAGGTAACCCCATAAAAGGATAATTTGCTAGGTCCCCCAGCAATTGGTGCCCTTTTACCAACTTTTTTGGGGGGAGGGTTCCCCTACTAAAATAGACTACAGACAAAAAGGTACCCTTGTTCTAGCCTCGTTTGGATTGGTGGTTTGACCTTGCTGGTTTGGATTTGGATTTTTTTTTCTCTGGCTGTAGAGGGTAGATGGGGTAAACCACCCGAACCTCCAAACCATCGATTCGGCTCCAAACCAGGGGGGACGCTGAATGTTTGCATGGTTTTAACGGAAGGGCAAGAGGAAACAATCCCATTTGCGGGGCTTCCTGATCGCTGCGGGGGTGCAACCTTCCCCAGAATTCGCTCGCCCTGTTTCTTTTTTGTGATTTTAGTTATTATTAGTTTTGCTTTTTTGGGTACCCTTTGTTTCCACTAACCAAGATAGTTCTTTGCTGGGGTCCTCATTCCAGCCAAGTAACGAGCTATTTGCTTGGAAATCCCTTACGGCAATTCAGCTTTGCTTTGGTGCATTTTGCTTGGATGTTAGGACTTTGACTTTTTGCCAACTAATGGGTTTTCCGTATTAAACCGCCAAAGGTTAAAAGTTTCAGCAGGGGTTTGCAGAAAGCAACCGAGTTTTGGAACGACAGCAACCTCCGGCGACTCCACCGACCACGTCGCAAGGTGCTGCAAGTCCGTGGACACCAGCCCCGATGCTGCGGCTGAAGCGATGCCCACCATGGACCGCCCGGCGAGAGCGAAAGCCGGCCGTTTTTGTTGAGCTCGCTCCCTGAGCCACTTTTTGCGGGGGTTTGGACCATTTTGGCGGGAAACAAAGAAAGTTCAGGAGCTGTTTTTGCGTCCCGACCACGCAGGAAGTGAGATAGCCCCGGGCAAGGTTGCTTCAAGACCTCATTCCAGAGATTCTGGTTGATTGCTCCCAGACAGGCAATGGCATTGACCATAGGAGATGGACATTGGTTTCCCACGGCCTTTGGCCTTCCGCAGGCCCTTCGAAAGGAAGCAGCTTGCACATCTCGTCTTCGAACTTCGTTGGTTTCTCCGTGCGAAAGGCATTCCCTGCGCTGAGAATAAAAACGGAAAGCCCATGGAGATCCGGCTTCTTCTCTTCTTTTTTGCGTTTTGGTTCCCATCGGCCGCTGTGAGATGTGGAGCTTGGGGCCGTGGAGAGTTAAATGCTTGGCCTCACGTCCTGAAATTCATGAGACTTGGGAAGTTTGCTAACTTCAGGCCTACCAACTTACTCGCTTTTTGGGCGTGGACAACATATGGTTTGGGCACTTTTTGTGTGCCATCCACACCACTCCGTGAGTCGAAGCCCCCGGAGACCTCATCGCGCCATCGGCCGGCAGGAGTCCTGGCCGGCCAATGGCGGCAAGCCGGCCATCGCCGGGCCCCCAGCTCTTTGACAAGGTCCCCCAGCTAGGTGCCCTTTTATCCTTTTTTTGGGGGAGGGTTCCCCTACTAAAACAGACTACAGAAAAAAGGGTATCCTTATTCTAACCTCTCCACTGGAGGACCTAGTTGAATCGGAAATCGGTCGAAGTGGCTGGCGATTTGGAGCAGGTGAGGTGAGTTGGATCTTGGTGGTTCCCAGCCATCGATTTAATTAGCTTTTAGCTTTGTGGTTGGTTTAGTGGCAGTTCAACCACCAGAAGTTAAACTTTTAGTAGGGGATCTGGGAACGGCACAGCGATGGTAATCAACCTGACTTGCGTGAGGATCCATGGAAAAGAATCGTGGCGTGTTCAGGCAATCACGCGCCCCTGTCATCATTCAGTCAGTCATCATGGGACCCTGACAAGTCTGCCGGCCAAGCGCGCTTCAGATCCTCATCTCGTTCGATGGGACCATGTTCCTTGTAAAGGCACCGGGTCCCACGTCGGGTTGCATGTCGGAGGGTACCTCATTGCTGGGTGGTTGGGTCAAGGGACGCTAGCGCCTCAGGAGGTGCCTGCAGTGTCTGGCGGGAACAGCGCGCAGGCCTTGGAGTTTCGGCCCACCCCGGGTACCTTGCTGCCAGTCATTGCGCTTTTGAGCCGCCTGCTGCTTGTTCTGACTGGCTTGGGTTTCAGAGCAGCGTTCGTCAAGGCTCATTTGTCCAAAGTCGACCCGATCACCCGTTGCTTTTAAAACGTTGGCAGCATTTGTTCGTCACCGTTATTGTGCCCCCACATGCCCAGAGCCTTCCAAATGCGGCGGAGATGCAGCCGGGCTTCCTTCGGATGGAACCTTTCGGGCTGCTCGAATGAACAGACAGCACAAAGCCACACTTGCAAACAATTGTGGTGTAAGGCACCCAATGGGTTGTTTGACGTTTAAACTTTGATGACCCCTAAAGATTTGGTGCCGTTGTTTGAACGTGTGGCTCGGCCGTCTTAGTAGGTGGTTGGGTGGGTGGGCCTTCCTTGTGGCAGCTTGTAACTTTCCCCAGACCTTTCTATGGCCCAGCTCGCCGCCTAATTGCAAGTCTTAACCTTGCAACTCTCCGACCGCTGAACCTTTGAATTCTTTTCTAGGTCCCCCAGTAGTGCCCTTTACCCTTTTTTGGGGGAGGGTAAAGGGCATCCTTATTCTAACCTCTCTACTGGAGGGCCTAGTTTTTGTAGGGGACCCCCGCAAATGGCGGTTTTCGCAGGGGTTTCAAAAAAAGACGGGCACATCTGCCAAGGGGTTAACAGGGACGGCCACCTGGTAAGGTCTTGTTTTAGTTAGTTTAGCGGTTGGGGCTGGGTGTCCGTTTTACCCACTAAAAGTTTGTCGTTCGTAGCCGGGGATCTGGAAACAGACAGCCCAGATGACCCAATCGGCCGCGGAGTTGTGACCATGGCACACATGTCTCCTGGCCAGGAGCGTATGTACAAGGTACACCTCGTGAAGTGCGGCGCTCAGAGCATGTCACCAGGGTCGCAGCCCTCGCAAGCCCATACCCTTCAAAACCACGACGTGCAAAAGGGGGTACCCTGAAACAAGGATTAGGATGCCTCATTCAAGGTTCACTTTGGCTTCGCTTCACCCACTAGTGAAGGTTTGGGAGTACCCCCCTGTGCGCGTCCAGACTTTGCTTCAGCATGTTTCACCGGTTTCCGCACCCCAACGATACCTTGCTGCTGTTTTTGTTCATGCTCGACAGGGGGTGGGCATCGAACCTCAGGAAACTCCACCCTTTGTGTGCGAATTCTTAGAAGTTGCTTTGCTTGGATTTAGTTGAACACCATAGTCCATTAATCCGCGGTCAAAATTACCTCTCCATAGGGGCACTGAGCGCCATGGCTGGGTGCGTCACATTTTTGTATTTTGAACATCTGTCTTTCGCAGCTCATTGGCCCAACTGCGGGTCCCGCACGGCAGCATGTCATGGCCTGGCATGCGGCATGTTGCTTTTCTCTAGCGTCAGGCTGCAATTTGTAGGCATACAGTTGCTTTTGTCCAACGTCAGGTGCGTCAGGTTGCACTCCCTGGTTCTTCCACTGGTCTCCTTCCCATTGCGAGGCGTTCCCTTTTTCTCGACTGCTATTGGGTTGGATCTTAAGACTTTAACTTTTTGGTTGAACTCAAGTTGGGTTCTCCGTATTAAACCCAGAAAAGGTGGAACACTTTTTGCAGAGGTTTTTTTTTGCAGCAATCAAGTTGAATTTGGGAGGGGCGAAGCCACGGCTTAGGACGCCGTTGGCTTCCTCCCTTGCGCCAGCCTAGCCGGGTGCCATGAGCCCCGCGCAGCTCTTCGCGCGGCGGGGGCCGTTGTCCTACGACCAGCTGGCCCGGACTGGACGCCCAAGTGGCCTGAGACTGGGGAAGCTGCGCACGGAAGATGCGCGCAGGGAGTTGGAGGTGGGAGTGGGAGGTGGGGGATGGTGGGTGGGGGGGTGGGCTTGTGTTTTGTTTTTTGGGGGAGGTGTGGGGAGGTGTGGGGAGGGTGTGGGGGGGAGGTGGGGTGGGGGGGAGTGTTCCCCCAAGTCCGTGAGGGAACCCCGCAAAGTCGGAGTGGTGTGATAATTTTGTGCCCTCCATTCCGGCTGCCGCTGTAGAGGTTGGGATCAAGGAAGGCGTGTCCTGGAGACTCAGATTCCTCACAAAAACCGGCAAGTTGCAAAGCAAGAGCAAGCGCGAAACAACAAAGCACGGAGAACAGACAGATCACAGGCACTCATGCCAGGCCAAGCGCAGGACCATAGAACCCGCAAACCCCGCAAGCCTACAACCCTGAAATCGAAGAAGGGGTCATGGCACAGCATTTTCTCCTTCAGTTCCTCCTTCCGTGCAAGCACAACTTTGATATACTGTACTCAATTCAGTCTCATCAATGTGAGAAGAAAAATATCCAAGAAGCGGCCCCAATATTTTGCCATTACCAAAGTCACCCCCCGGTAGATAAAAGGGAAAACCGCAGTTTCTGACTTTGATCACCCCCAAAAACGTCAAAACACTTGCTGGTGCGATAGGCAGAGAATGAGAATTGTAATGATGCCGAAATACAGCATCCAACTGGTGGTTTCCTTCAAGAGGACCAAAGCCTGGGTTCATTCAACTAAATTTCCCTACCTATCGCACCAGCAAGCAAATAATGACCATAGGGGTTCTTGTTTGCTTAGAAATAGCTGGGTTCTACTGGTTTAGATTGGTCTTATGCCCCATCCCATCCCATTTGTTTTTCATCAAAAGGTAATGACCCCCAACAAATGGATTTACCAGGTCCACCTATGACAGCTCATGCCCCCCCCAAAAAATAACCGCCCAGGCGCTCCGGGGTCAGCGGCTGCAGCTGGAGCTGGGCCTTAGCTTCTTCGAAGCCAAGGCGCGCCTGGGCGCCGTGCTCGCGGCGGCGAAGCTTTCGGCGGCGAAGGCGGCGACGGCGAAGCCGCGGCGCTTCCGGCGCCACCGGGGCTCGGCGATGGCGGAGCCGCTGGCGCTGCCAGCGGCGCCGTGCTGCCGCAGGCTGCTGCATTTGGCGGGTAAGGAGCCGGGGACCCCGGAGCGGGGAAATGAAGTTTGGCGAGGGTGGGGAAATGGCGGCTTCGATCTTTTGATTTGGTTTTGATGTTTGGCATGCTGCTGCTGCTGCTGCTGCTGCTGCTGCTGCTGCTGCTGCTGCTGCTGCTGCTGCTGCTGCTGCTGCTGCCAGTAGCGTTGAGTGCGATTGAGTTGCAGCCTGTTTATTTGACGCGGTTGTGGCACACAAACGGGCTGCGCACGTGTACGTACAGTTTGTTATTTTCTGGCAGTTTTATTCTGAAAGTTAGTGCTTCCGATATCCTTTTAGCGCTAAGGTTGGGCATGGACACCGAGGGCGAGGCGCGCCCTCAACCACTGCCCGGCGGGGGCCTGACCCGGGCCACTGGAGCCTGTCCCAAGACAAAGCTAGCGGCCCACAGGTGAGTGTGCTTGCTGAACACTTGTTTGGGAGACTGGGACTGGTCACATCGCCGATCCGGGGTGTGGATGATGGCGTCCTTTCTTTGCAGCTCTCTATTACAAAATTAGCCTGTTGCTTGTTCTTTTTGTCCCATGGCGGGTTTGCTGGCTGCCTGGCTGGTTGGCTGACAGCCGCATGCTCGCTAATGCACGTGTTGATAGGTCTGATAGGTGTTACATACTGTTTTCGATATGTTTGCAGGTTCTGTGTGAAAATGTGAGAATTGAATTTGTTGGTAGTTCTTGCTGTCACCCGCGCTGGAAGCTCATTGGTGCCTTTGCTGCTGTTTGCTTGAGTTGTTCGGACCGTTTTGCTTTGTGCTTTCCCTCCTTGGCTCGTCGTCGCTCAGCGCTCCGCTGAATGATTTCGCAACAATTCGAGAAGGAGCAGCGTCTTAAACATGGCTATCTACCTATATATGCTAGCTACCTGAGTGCAATGTGCATTCGTTCTGAGTCTCTCACGTTCGGGGGTATGGAATGCGCCTTTTGTCTAGAAAACGGTTTGGATGTGGCTTTTGTGGATCCACCCATGTAGGATATCGAAAGGGTACTAAAAAAGAACCTACAGAGGAAAGAACAGGTCACACCCACGTAAAAACTCGCAAATCCATCTAGTTTTCTAGATTCTTGAGTCCACAGCTAGCAGCGGCCAGACCTTTGACGCCCGGCCATCTGGTTTCTGGATACTTTTGTGTTGGGTTAGCATCAAACTTGGTATTGGCTGCCGCTTGTTTTGCGCAGGGCTTCGAGACTTTGGTCAACGGCCTGGCGCGGGTCTACACGCCTGGCGCCGGCTTGCCGCGCCACGTGGACCACGAGATGTTCCAGGAGCCGGTGCTCGCCCCTCGGCGTTTTGCGGGGAGAGAACCTGCGAGACCCGAGGTGTTGAACGGGACGGCCATATGGGTGTGTGTCTTGAATTGGGTTGGACCCAAAAGATGGCTTTCCTTGCCCTTTAACACCAGCCACACAGAGGGAACCCTCGGAAAAGACAGACCCGTAATATTCGCGAGTGGAGCTCGCGAGTTTTATGAAGAGCTGTCGTTGTGACACATGCGATGATGCATCAGCCATGAAGGTTCAAGCCTTCCGATTGCAGGCTGTTTTGGTGTCATCTTTCCTGTAGGTCTGTTCATATGCCATTCTTGTTTTAAGCTTTCAGTGTCCGGATGGGTGTTTCATGTCACAGGCCTGTTCATTTTTGTTGAGCTCTCAGTGAAGAAACGCGTTTTTGCTGCGCCGAGGCCATGGTTCTGCAAGCTGCGCCAGGGGACGGCTTGCGCCTCTGTCAGGCGGAGCACATCATCGCGGAGGCGGGCGGCGGGGCGCCGGCGCTGCGCGCGGTGCTCCGGGCAGAGCCGGGGTTCCGGGTCCAGGAGGAGGACGGAGCAACTGGTCGTTTGGTTCTGCGTCATTTTTCCTTGGTGGCTCCAGACGTCCGTTCAGCCGTTCAGCCTTTTAGTTGGTTTAGTGGGGGCTTTCATTTGAACCACTACAAGTTAAAAACTTGTAGCAGGGGATCTGAAGACAGCCCAGATTTGGTATGGACTTGAGAGGATGTCTTTTCTGATCTCAAGGTCAACTCTGGCTGATGTGGATGTTCTGGGTCTACAATTGTCATTTTGGACATGTTAGCCTCACGATTTGTTGCATTCGGCAGGACGGGTTGCTGATATGCCTGGAGAAGGCGGCAAGGTATGACTTGGCGCATGAGGTGCCTGCCGTCTCCTCGCAGCGGATTTCCCTGACATGGCGATGGTTTCGCCCAGAGTTTCTGGAGCAGCTCCAGCGGATGGAAATGCAGCTAGGGGATGCAGGGTCAGGTGTGCTTTCGACGGCACCAGCTCTGATGGGCCAAGCAGCAGGGCAAAAAAACATGGCATCGAGCAGGACCTCCGTCAGGCATCTGAAGAAACTTCGCCCGTTTTCACGGCGGCCGAGTGAACGACGCTCAAATGCTGCAACTTCTACCTCAGGACGCGATACCGGGCGCTGCGCTTGCAGTGCAGGGCAGCATTCAGAGGGCATCGCCACATGCAAAAGGAAAGATGTCCGGTGTAGCATGTTGCAATCATAGGTGTCCTGTTTAGGTTCATTTGGTTTAAACATTGAGGTTTAGTTGGTTTTGTTCCATTTTAGCAGGGCCACCTATTTGTCCAAAAGGGCGCCCATGGTCGCAACATGCAAAACAAAAAAGCCGAAGCGAAGCGGAAAAAACGGCCGATGCCCGGAGCTGTTGTTCCCAGAGCCATGCATCCGGATGGCCCATGGACGGACAGAGGGCCTGTCGACACCCCCTTCAAACTGGAATTGGGGGAGGGGGGATTTCGATCCCTGGAATTTCTTTTCGGGTCCCATTTTCCCTTTTCTGGGGTTTCCCTTTTGTGGTTGGAGACTGAATACATGGAATAAATGGGACCCCCCACCCCCCTCCTTAAGGGGGGATGAGGGCCCGAGGTGAAGAAATCGGAGTTGGCGGCATCTGAGGTCGGAGGGGCAGAAGCTCGGCCTGGACGTGGATTACATGGCCGAGCCGGCGGCCCAGCCCATGAAACTCGCTCCAAGTTGAACTGGGGTGCCATAAATGGCCCATCCTTCGCTGAACCCCAAAGGAAAAAAAATCGGGGGATTTTTCTATGCTTCAACTCTCAGACCCGGGTTTTTTGGGGTCTTGATTTAGCACGACTCGCTGGTTTTTTGGGAATGCCTTCGCCAAATACGATGGCATGGGCTCACTGCTCAATTGCCACTGACTGGTAAGACTTGCTGCCAACCTAGGCATCCGACCTCTAAAGAAGCGCACATTGAGACCCATGACATATTTCATGGACTCCTGCAGTCGCATGCCTGTTTGCATGGGTTGCCTGGCTTCCAGAACCCCTGTAGCACTGACAGGTCAAAGGCAATTCAAGATAGGTGAAGGCATTCCTCCTCCAGGCGTATGAAACATATGCACCGTCCATTGGCAACCGATGTGTTGGCATTTGCCCGGCTGGGCGCAAGCTGCAAATGGCGCTACTGAGGCGGAGCGTCCTCCCTATCCTGGTGATCTCTGGGGGCATTGCAGAGCCCAGGGCTTGGTTGCAGCGTGTGGCTTTCTTCGGCATGTGTTCAAACTCCCACCCCCTTCAAAATGAAATTTGGGGAGGGCGGGAAATTCAGGAATTCCGTTGTTGGTTTCATTTTCCCTTTTATGGCGAAACTTTGCATGGAATCGGGGGACTCCACCCCCCCTGCCCCTTAAGGTAGGGGGGATGTGCTGCAACGGCGGGCGAACCGGCTCGTGTGTCAGGCCTTGGATGATACGGCATTGGAGCAGACCTTGAGTTTGCCTCCAGAGGGTCATCCTTCCATTTTTGTTTCTTTAAATCCCCCTGCTGCTGTTAAAGGGACTCTCTCACTGCTGGAGATATTTTGTTTTTTCCCGGGGGCTTAAGCAAATGGAAGAGTGGCATCTTTCCAGAGACCCCGAAGTGAATTCTCCCCTTAGGCCCCCCAAGCCCCCCTTAAGTCCCGCGCTTGAGACCCCCTCTTGGTGTGAGGCAATGACTTCCCGGCTGAGGCAATGGAACAAGCAACATCCGGAGAGGAAGATGAACACTGGCGCCGGGTACTCGGCCCCCAGAAGTTCCAGAGGGTTTTGTTTTTGCGTGCTCGCTTTCTTTGTTGGCTGTCTTGCTTGCTTGTTTGTTTGTTTGTTTGCCTGCTTGCTTGCCTGCTTGCTTGCTTGTTTGTTTGTTTGTTTGCCGCTTGCTTGGCTTGTTTGTTTGCTTGTTTGCCTGTTTGCTTGCTTGCCTTGCTTGGCTTGTTTGTTTGCTTGTTTGCCTGTTTGCTTGCTTGGCTTGTTTGTTTGTTGGTTTGCCTGTTTGCTTGCTTGGCTTGTTTGTTTGCTTGTTTGCCTGTTTGCTTGCTTGGCTTGTTTGTTTGCTTGTTTGCCAGTTTGCTTGTTTGTTTGCTTGTTTGCCTGTTTGCTTGGCTTGTTTGTTTGCTTGTTTGCCTGTTTGCTTGCTTGGCTTGCTTGTTTGCTTGTTTGCCTGTTTGGTTGCTTGGCTTGTTTGTTTGCTTGTTTGCCTGTTTGCTTGCTTGTTTGTTTGCTTGTTTGCCTGCTTGCGTGGCTTGTTTGTTTGCTTGTGTGCCTGTTTGCTTGCTTGCCTTGCTTGGCTTGTTTGTTTGCTTGTTTGCCTGTTTGCTTGCTTGGCTTGTTTGTTTGTTTGTTTGCCTGTTTGCTTGCTTGGCTTGTTTGTTTGCTTGTTTGCCTGTTTGCTTGCTTGGCTTGTTTGTTTGCTTGTTTGCCAGTTTGCTTGTTTGTTTGCTTGTTTGCCTGTTTGCTTGGCTTGTTTGTTTGCTTGTTTGCTTGTTTGCCTGCTTGGCTTGCTTGGCTTGCTTGTTTGCCTGTTTGCCTGTTTGGTTGCTTGGCTTGTTTGTTTGCTTGTTTGCCTGTTTGCTTGCTTGTTTGTTTGCTTGTTTGCCTGCTTGCGTGGCTTGTTTGTTTGCTTGTGTGCCTGTTTGCTTGCTTGTTTGCCTGTTTGCTTGCTTGGCTTGTTTGTTTGTTTGTTTGCCTGTTTGCTTGCTTGGCTTGTTTGTTTGCTTGTTTGCCTGTTTGCTTGCTTGGCTTGTTTTTTTTCTTGTTTGCCTGTTTGCTTGCTTGGCTTGTTTGTTTGCTTGTTTGCCCGCTTATTTGCTTTGTTTCGGGCATGTGTTTGTTGGCCATTTCAACGCCGCGCCTTGGTCACTTCGAGGACAGCATCGTGGAGGTGAACGGCATTCGAGGTGCCGAGTCAGGGAAGGGCACACAGGGCGTCGAAGCCGCGAGCTCTCAAAGTCTTTGGTTGCTTCAGCTTGTGTTTTTTAAAGGTTGGACCCCCAAAAAATAGAAACCATAGTAATGTGGGTTTACTTAACTCACAAAACAGGTACCTTCATAGATATTCCCATGTAGGATTCATGGGCATGGGCCTTGGCGCTATTTTCCGATGCGCGCAGTACTTCTTGACCCGTTTGTTCGTGCCAGCCCGCTGGGTGGTGGGCAGGGGGTGGGAGCGCCGAGGGAACATCGTGCGAGAACGCAACAACGAATTCGTCTAGTGCAGCGGTATGTTCTGGGTGCCCATGAATTTCAGTGGGCACCTTCTTCGTTGCCTTGCTGAGTCAAGACCCTCCAGACTCTGGACGCAACGGCAGAGAGAGAGAGAGAGAGTGGGAAGGGGCAAAACCCCTGACTGGATCGATCTCCCATGACTTGGAGCCGCTTCAACGGTTGAGGCAACGTGGCGCTGATGCTGGAGAAGTGCAAGGTGGACCCAACTTTGGAGCAGGGTCCCCGGAGTTGGCTGCGAGCAACCGTTTGGCAACCTGGCGGTTTTCCAGGTTTGGTTTAGGCTCCAAAACGTGGCCCCAAAACGCGGCGCCACAACTTGGTGGCTCCCAGCCATCCGGTTCCTCGAAACGGAACGGCAGACAATGCCCAGTGTTTTTTTTTTTTTGTTTTTTTTTTTGTTTTTTTCCGAAATACTTTTAGGCTTTGGAGTGCCATGAGCCTTCAGATACTTGGCATCAGTCGCCAACTTCGGGCTTTTGGTGAGTTAAATCATCTAAGCATCACCCAAGAAAGTTTTCTTAAGGGCTCCTTAAAAGATACATTTTGCCCATTTGAAACATGGCTTGGATCACCAAAATACAGGGAAACCACCATAAGGCAAGGCTTAGTTCAGGTGTATCATGTAAAGATCCCTGGACTTTTCTGGCCAGTCACCTCGGTCTCGGCTTGGCCGGAGGAATCCGTGTTTCGGCTTGAAGGTGCGGCTAATCCGCCTCCGGGGGCGGATTAGCAGAGCATCAGCTTGGGTCCTTGCAGTTGGGGCTGTCTCTTGTAGGGAACCCCCTTGTGGTTGGTTGTTTTTAAACGGAAACCCAGGAGGAAAGCCATCTTACTTTTTTTGGTTTGGGGGGGGCGGGGTCCCTTAAAGAACACACCTACACACACATTGTTGGCTTTTTGCCCATCTCTTTGCCTTGTGAACGCGGCCGAGGATGACAGTTTGCAAGTGCCTGACCTATGGTCATTTGGCCACGTGCTGAGCTGGGGAGGGCACAGTTGGCGACCCAGGCCCAGCCAGGTGCATGCCTTGTTCTCCAGTCTTAGCATCGGTTGCAGCAGGTAAACAAGCATGCGGGTCAGGGAGTTGGTTCACCTTCAGGCCTTTGCTCGAACCCGTTGGCCCCGTATTTTCTTTGCTTGCCGTCATTTGATCCCCGACTAAGGATGAACAAAGGCCCCTTTCGGCCTGGAGGGTTTTGCACGACCTTATCAGGGCCAGGTACTTTCTCTCTTCGGCTAAGTTGGCACTTGGGAAGGTGATAGTTCACACACGCGGACAAGGCCCACAAGTGCCACGTTTGAGAAGCAACACGCTTCCTTGTTGCTTGCCTGCCTGCTTGTTTCCTTGCTTGCTTGCTTGCTTCCTTGCTTGCTTCCTTGCTTGCTTGCTTGCTTGCTTGCTGGTTTACTTGCTTGTGGGCTTGTTGAGCAGTCATTCAATTCCGCCTGTTCAATGAAGCCGCGTTGTAGCTTTGCTTTCGGCAGGTTGCGGATCTTGAGAAGCTGATTTCCATCAAGGGCTGTGGGCCGATCATGCCGGGCGCTGAAGACTGCTGGAGTGCCTTTTGGTTATTTTCCAAGGGACACTCAAAAATGACACCAATAACAGGGCTCCTTAAAAGATACATTTTGCCAATTTGAAACATGGCTTTTTCCACCGAAATAAAGGGAAACCACCATAAGTCAATGTTCAGGTGTACAATGTAAGGATCCCTGATAATAATCTTGCATTTTGGAGGTTTCCCCTGTTTTGAGACGAGACCCAGGGGCGCTTTGGCAAGCGCCCAACTTTCTGATTGACTCTGTGTCTGTGTGGTGGGCGGGGAGGGTGTGCGTATGTTTTGTGTTCTTGTTTGTTTTACCTCCCACGGACGATTCCATGGAAGTGCACAGACCCCTGCAGAAAGACGAGTCTTTCCACTGGGTCTGATTATTGTTTTTTATTAGGGACCCTTTGGTTAAAACAAAAAAACAACGCCATTTA